GCCGACCCCGCCGACCGCCTCTCCCCCATGTGGGGCCCCCAGGTGCTGCGGGGCCCCGCGCCATCGGGGCTCTCTGTGGCAGTGGACATGGACGACGTTTTTGACGGCGGACGGAATGACGACGACGACTCGCTGCCCGGACCTTCCTCCTCCTCCCTGCTACTGTCCTCCCCATCTTCCTCCTCCTCAACCTCTCACAGCCCGTTGCCCGGCAACGGAGGCAGGCCCAACAGTTACCCCGGCGACCCGTATAGCAGGTAGTGCTCTGATTGGCGGAGGGGAGCAGAGTCCGGAGTGCTGCTCAAAGCCTTAACTCTCACAGAAACAGGTGCTGCTTTGACACTGAAGGCCCCTTCCTCACCCTGCCTCACTCCTCTTCCTCACCCGTCACTAGTTTCCCTCCGCACTTTTCAACCCAGGCTGAAGCTGAGCTGAACTGCGATCATTCCTCCCCGACTTCTCCGCTTCAAAGTGCCATCTCTGAGGGGGTGACGAAGAGGAGGAGGAGGAAGAAGAGGAGGTCGGTCACCTTCCTCACAGATTGTCCGGAACGCGCCGCGTCCGACGCCGTGTGATGTGGAGGCTTAAAGCAGAGACTGAAGTATCCAGCGCCGAGTTTTCGTTGTGAGACTCTTTGGTTTTTGGTTTGGGGGACGACGTCCTGTGAGAGAACTGTGGGCGTGGGGAGGTGGGCAGGGTCAAAGGTTACAGGTGGACAGTCCTGACTGCAGACTGATTGGACAGATGAGACTGAATCTACTGCGGATCATGAAAAAAAACAACTTTTTTTTTTTTGTTTTTAAAAGAAGGAGAGCCGATGGGGGAAACCACAGGACTGTTCAAGCCCCGCCCCCCATCCTTCTTAAAACCCAGTTGCACTACGGTGTGTTTTGGTGCTACATGAGCCTGAACAGAAGTGTGTGTGTGTGTGAGTGTGATTTTAATGAATGACTTCAGATTTCATCCATCATGTCTGTTTGTTCACGGTTCTGTCCCAGAATCCCGGTTTTCCAGGAGTTCTGGAAAACTTTGGATCAGCGAAACCGAGTCAAAATCTAAAACGGGATATCAAAGCCAGGCTAATAAAAAAAATGTAAAATAAAATTACAAGAGTAAAGTTGTAACTTTATATAAAGCTGCAGTGTAATAACTTTATTCTCGTAGGACCAGACTAGGTTAAAAAGAGGGAGAGAAACAAGTCCTTATGGGAAAAGTCACAATATTGCGAGAAAAAAGTTGTAATATTACTGAAAGGTGTAGAAGAATAAAGCCGTAATATTACAAAAATTAAGTCGGAATATTATAATTTACTATGTGCATTACTGTAACTTATTGTAATATTATGGCTTAATTGTCGCGCTACTATGACTTTAGAGAACAGTCATCATATTACAAGAGCTTATTCTCACGTTATTACAACTTTATTCTCACGATGCTTTGAATTTATTTTTGTAATATTACAAACTTTTTCTCACGTTCCAGTTTCATAACTGAATTTTTTTTCTTATCCTGGCCCTGATACGACGTCATAAAACTCATCCAGAATCCTAGCAGAACTTCGTCAGGAACAGAACAGCAGATCCGGTCCAGGAAGGTCCAATCAGGAGCGGAAATGGACCAGAACTGCCGATCGGATCCGGGTTGGAAACTCGACATCTGTCTCCTTTTCCAAAATGACTCCTAACAAATCCTGTACCTGCTTGTACCGGGTTCTGGTTCCGGACCGGGTTTGTTTTTGAGTCAGAACGTTCAAAGGCCCAATCAGGTTTCGTTTTCCGCCCTCTGAGCGCCGGCCAATCAAATCATGGACTCACTTCGTTCCTGATCATGTGACTGATCCGGTTGTTTCTGCAGAGCAGCGCTGAGTTCTCCTCCTCAGCATCTGGTTCCGACCCAATCAGAACTCTGCTGCAGGAAATCTCTTCAGGGCGACATCTTCCAGCGGTTCTGATGGACTCTGCACTTAAACAGGATTACAACCAGAACTTCTCCTGCATTGATCCCACGGAGCCCGCTGGTGTCGTCGGTGTGTTCAAACTCTGAACCTGGACTGGTGACGTTCTGGTTCTGATTCCGGTTCTAATCGGATCAGACTACCAGCTGAAGCTCTAAGATTCACCAGCTGATCTGGAATCGGATTCAACATAAGGATCTGGAGAAGTGCCCTCAAAGCATCATGGGATTCGGAGTTCTGTTCGGTAAAATTAAAGCAACTTGACGCCTCCAGACCTTCATCTCCTCTTCCTCCTCTGCTGTCTGTGGATCCATGTGACGTTCAGTACCGATCGCCGTGATGGTTACATACCTGTTACTATGGCGACAGCAGAACCTCCTAAGCTGACTTGACTGGTGAGCGCTTAAACGCAGTTTCTCTGTGGTGTGTGTGTGTGTGTTCAGGTTGCGGAGGGATGAGTGTAAACGCTGAACGGTACTGCTGTGTCAGGATCCCACTGTGGAGTTCGGACGGCTCCGACGCGACTCTTTGACTTTTAGACGTGATGTAATTAAAGAGCTTTGAGAGTTTCTCTGTGATGTGACGAATGTTTGTGTCTTATCCACACGATTCGACACTTAACATGTTTTATTCATAAAATACAAAAAAAAGATAAATATGCCTTTTTTTTTCTTTCTTTTTAATGTTAAATCAGGGGTGTCCAAAGTACGGCCTGCGGGCCGTGTGTGGACCTCGGACTGAGTTTGTGCGGCCCCCAAACTGCATAAAGAAGCTGGAGACTTTTTATTTACAACCAGGGAAAAATTATTACTGACGTAATGTTCAATGGAAAATTTTAAGTGCAACACAGTTTTTTTTTTTTTTTTTTTTTTTTTATAAACGAGCTTTTATAAGTAGTTCCATGTTTATCCAGAGACTTTTACTAAAAAAAATGGTTCTTAAATTCAGATTCAGTCAAATTCAGTTTGAGAATATTAGGTATCTAAATAATCCCAGCTGATTGCACCGAGTCATTGCTCACTAGCAAGTCTCTTCTTGAGCAAGCATGTGGTGAAAGTGGAGAGGAACACTTCGCTTTTAACAGGAAGAGACTCCCATCAGAATCCAGCTGTGACTCAGGGTTCAGACAAAAATAAACAGGGGGACCTGTAGGGATGCACCAATGTGTAAAATGTTGCTTTTATGGCCAGTATTTACCGATACTTTTATAAATTTTTTTAAAAACTGTAGAAGCTCATAAAATTAAATCTAGGTCACATCTAAACAACATGTGGGTCTGAGTTTAGCAATAGTCCTCATAAGATAAAAACAATTCCAATCTTAATTTCTTGCAATTATTACAGAACCGTCAAATTAAATCAGCAGACTGAACAGACGGATCCTAGGATGTTTTGTCCGGCAGACTCGGTCCGGTTGGGGAACAAAATCGCAACATTTCTTACATTTTCAGCTGCTGCTGGTCGTTTTTACAACAATCCAAACTGTTTGAGAAACCTTCAGCAGGAAGGTTCTGTAGCTGACAGTGAGTGAAGAAGGTATTCCTGAGGTTAAAAGGGTCAAACCATCAGGGCTGGAGTGAAGGATGAAGATGTGAGCTACCATTGCCATGGTAACATCTGTCCAACGGATCAGATGGCGGCTGGATCTTTTTTTCAGAGACAACTGTCCATGAAAGATTTAACGGAACAAAAGGAGGAACGGTTGGATTCCCGTTGGGCAGAAATCCATTAAAGGAGACCTATTGTACTTCAGGGTAGGACAGGTCTGTGGTCTAGTCAAAACATGTTCATTTTTGCACAAAAACATTCTTAGTGAGATTTTAGTCAGTTCTGACAACTTTGACCTCCTTTGGGGCCTCCTGTCACTTTAAATCCAAATAAGCTGCTGCTGGCCACGCCCCCCAAACTCAACGTTTACACTCGCACATGAAAATGACTGTAACCGTACATCTTTGAAAAGCAGAAGTGGAGCCTCCTATCCAACCAACAAGAAAGCAGCAAATTGTTTTTGGATGGTAAGTCAACAAAAAACATTTGTCTGTTCCAGCAGCCATTGTACAATGGCAAAACCAGCTATTATCTAGATTGGGTTGCTAAGTAACAGTATAGTGTGACTTAACAATTAGGAAGCTTTTGAAACGGTTTGCTTTCCAAAACCATTAACTTATTGCCAAAAAACAACTGGGTGTTTTGTTTTCTTTTATTACTTTTAAGTGTTTGGTCTGTTTTTAAAAGCAGAAACTCAAATAGAAGTATAGAAATGTATAAATATGAATAAAATCTATAATATGAATTTTAATTAATATGTCCCCTTTTAAAAAGAAGATGGAGAATCCTGGAAATGTGTGTTCTGGACAGAAAGAGACCAGGAAGAACTAAGCTGAGGAGTTCCTCTTTTTAACACGGTAGTGGCGGTGTTATGATGCGGGCCTGTGTGGCTCTGTACTGTGAACATCACTTGTTAAAATTACGGAAATATTTGTAACAGCTTTGTAGAACTTTCCCATTAATTTCATGGAATTTAATCACTTTTTATCAATGATCAATAATACTTCCACTGATCTGGTTTTATGTTTATATTAAAGCTTATTCAACGTTTGTCTTTTTTTTTTTTTTCATGTGTGTTTTTAAATCTAAACTTTCCATGCCCTCCTGCGTGAAGCTGACTGCTGCTGCTGGTCGGTGATGAAGACGATGTGATGTTTCCGCCTGCTGTCTGTCGGCGTTACGGCCCTCATGAGGCTGATCTGAGGTCAGATCAGGCGGCAGCAGCAGCGACCGCAGGGTGAGGCTCCGACGATGAGGAGGGACGAACTCTTCCTCACGTCCTTATAAGCCGCTCTGAGTGAAGGCGGCGGTGATCAGCCTGAGCAGCTGCAGCAGCTTCATAACCAGGTGAGATTTTTACTGATTTATTCCATTTCTTTAAATTTCCTGCATTCAGAAGAATCAGGAAATGTTTTAATTGCCTTTATGATTTTCTGTATAATTGTTAAAATGCTTTTTGATCAGAAATTATCTAGAAATGATCAACTTTCACTTAACCCGATCAAATAACTGATTTCCTCCACTTAATGTGGAAGTAGCTCACATTTGGAGTATTGAAATAATGTCTTTATTTGAAACTAAATCAGCTTTTAGACGATGAAAGTTGGGAATAAGAAGATTTTTGTTATATTTAGAGCTAAACATTGTGTAAGAAGACAAATGAAAATAAAACCTTAGCTGGAGGGATTTTGGAAAAATAACTGCAGGAACTGGAAAAAAAAACTGAGTTTGATCAAAGTTCCTGTTGGATTTTAATTCAAATAAAATAAAATAAATAAATAAATACTTCTTTGAACCCCACAGTAATTTAATTAATGGGGTTTGTGCATCTCAAGGTGCTGAAAGATGGTAAAGCAATTGATGTCATTTGGCACTGTAGATAAAAACAGCTTTGATTTGATTGTGAAAATAATACTTGAACACACAGTTGTTATTTTGAAGGCTCTATTTATGTCTAGAGGGCCACAGAAAATGCTGTAGAGGGCCGGATTGGCCCCTGGGCGTCGAGTTTGACACACAGATGCAGCATCAACTCTTCTCTCTGGCCTTCACGTTTCTCCTTGAACTCTTTCGACGTTACGCTTGTGTCTCCTTTGACTGCACAAAGATTCACTCTCACAACAATAGAAAGATCCTGCAGCTTCTCAGACAATTCTGTCGATTAATCAATTGTTCTGATGATTAATCGATTAATCGTATAAAAATGGCACATTCTGCATATTTTGTCATTTACATTTTATTGCCTAAAATGCAGTATCATAGCATTTCTTTAAGGGATGCTTGATCCTGGATGCATCTGCAGCTAAAAATACTAACATCAACATGTGAAAAGCTACAACAGCGTACGCCTTAGTAGAAAGCTCACCCTGTCTGCTTGACAGAATACAGTGCAGCGCTGATCTATTGGTTATTTATAGGGATTTTTCTTTTTTGATCACAGAAATTAGGTGAAGCTAACACTGCTACTAGAGGACTTCTGGGTAGAACATATTTACAAAAAACTTTTTATCTTAAATCCAAAATGTATGCATTTCATGTAGCGTTCAGGTTTAATCTCTGCTCTGAGTGAGTTATTCTTCCACCATTGGCCTTCATAGGACTGAATACTCCAGTTAACGATTAGTCGATTACTAAATTAGCTGCCAATTATTGAAATAATATATTAATCACAATTAATCTGATTAATCAATTAATTCATAGTCGGTTTTCTTTTCTTGTGACCTCTGGTCATGATGTTGGCGCTCTAACAAGGCCCTCAGAAGCTTTGGAAGAGGAAAAGGTCCACAGAATCACATAATACTCCAGTTAACGATTAATTGATTGCTAAATTAGTTGACAATTAAACTGATTAATCGTTTCAGCCCTCGTTGCTTGCAGTTTGGGTGAAGGCAGCATTATGCCTGGGCTCATGGTGCCTGTGCCTGCAGGAAGCATGGGTCGGTTGGCAGACCCCACCCTCAACGCCTCCGCTTGGCCCCGCCCCTCTGTGAACGCCTCATCCCAGTATCCAATCAGAGCGTACAGCACTGCCGAGTTGATCCTGGTTGTCATGGTATCCGTCTCCCTGAGCATTCTAACCGTTGTCGGGAACATGCTGGTCATTCTATCCATCAAGGTGAACCGAAACCTGCAGACCGTCAACAACTACTTCCTGTTGAGCCTGGCGGCCGCCGACTTGTTTATCGGCCTGCTGTCCATGAACGTGTACACGATGTACCGACTGCGGGGCCGTTGGCCGCTGGGGGCTGCGCTCTGCGACACCTGGCTCGTCCTGGACTACGTGGTGAGCAACGCCTCGGTGCTGAACCTGCTGCTCATCAGTTTGGACCGCTACCTGTGCACAACATGGCCGCTCAGCTACCCGGTGCAGCGGACGGGCCGCGTGGCGGGCCTGATGATCGGCTGCGCCTGGCTGCTGTCATTCCTGCTTTGGACGCCCGCCATCTTGTGCTGGCAGAGCGTCGGCGGACGGCGGGTGATCCCGGACGGACACTGCTACATCCAGCTCCTGGCGAGCCCGGCCGTCACGCTGGGCACCACGCTGCCGTCCTTCTATCTGCCGGCGCTCGTCATGATCGGGTTGTACAGCCGGTTGTCGGCCGCCAGCCGCCGCAGGCTGACTTGTCGTCAGGCGGAGCAGGGGACGCCCAAGATGGCGGATCCGCCGGTGAAAGGCTTCACCTGGAAACGAAGCATCTGGATGGCCAGCAACCTGGGTTCGGATCTGTCTCTGAACCAGCGGGGAAGTCCGGCGAACTGCAAACGCCTGGTAGGTAATCTACCTACAGTACGGAGTATTAGAGCCATACTAATGGCGGTCAAACTACAACACCAAAGGAAGGCCTGAGCGGATGTTATTAAGTTAATCGATTGGAACTCATTTTGATCTAATACACAATTAATCGACAATTGTTTGCATTCCTGCAGCAGCTTGTCAGTTCTGAAGGAACTGTGACTTCACAAATTGAACTGTCTGTCTCATCAGCAGCCGGTCTCCCGAACCTCCTCATGTGCAGCGGGAGACGAAGACGCCTTATCGATCACCGACCTCCACGGCTCGGCCTCCGCGGCGCTGTCCTCCTGCCCCAGCTTCCGGTCCCAGGAGCGGAGGAGGCGCCGGGTGATGGCGCGGGAGAGGAGGCTGACCAGCACCCTCCTCGCCATCTTGTTGGCCTTCATCATCACCTGGACGCCCTACAACGTCATGGCGGTCATCGCCGCCTTTTGTCACATCCGAATCCCCGACGCGCTGTGGACTACGGGCTACTGGCTGTGCTACGTCAACAGCACCATCAACCCCTGCTGCTACTCGCTGTGCAACGTCACGTTCCGGAAGACCTTCTGCTGCCTGCTGAGCTGCCGCACCTGGAAGCTGCACTAACGCTGAAACAGGTGGGCATCCGTCAGGTGTTTACCATGGCGTCAGATAGAAGATGGAGTTAACTTCCGCCAAATAACTCAGAAATTGTCCAAAAGTTTTAAATTTTCTACTTTTGAAACTCAGAAATGTAAATGTTTGTCTAGAAAATTTCTCTGAGATTAATCTCAAAGTTTCAGAATTGTAAATTCTGTGTAAATTTGCATCATGTATTTACCACAGTATATTAGATAGGAAAAAATTTGTAAATTTTCTTCAAAGTACTCAATTGTCCAAAAGTCTAATTATTTTTTTTTACTTATTTAGAGAATTTTTGACTTTTAAAACTCATTAATGTAAATTTTTTTTCTGTAAAATTTCTGAGATTAATGTGAAAATTTGAGGGGGGGGGGGTTTCAAGCAAATTTTCAACTTCCAAACTAAGAAATTTCCCCTTTTTCTCTAGAAAATTTGTGAGGTAAATCTCAGTTTCAAATTTCTAACAAATTAGCAACTTTTCAAATTCAGAGTTCCAAGTTTGTTTGTTTTTCCAAGAAAATTTCTGGGAATTTCAAGAATCTTTCAAAAATAATTAGAAATTTGTTCAGAATCTGTTCAGTCAGAAATCTGTCCAGGTTCAGGATCTCATGAAGAAAATGTCAGTAATTAATTTAAAATCCTTTTGGAATCAACAATCTGAAATTGGGAATCTGTTCAGTGTCAATCTGTTCAGGTTTGTAGTTGAACCATTCCCCTCAGATCTGATCAGTTTTCTATCAGCCTGACTGAAATCATGTTGCTTTAATAAACAAACACACAAAAGCTTTCACCAAAACAATGTACAGCATTTATTTGTTCATTTGTACAAGTCTCATCAATAATTTGTAATTCCAAAAATAAACTTTCCCTCAGTTCAGATGTTGAAGCATCAAACTGTGGATGATCTGCAGGATCAACTTTTCCCCTAAAAACTTTTAAAACTACAGAGAGAGAGCATTAAACTACCGGCTACCGAACGAAGGTTATTCTGATCAGCTAAAGCTTAAATCCAAGGAAAACAGGAGAACATCGAATCAGAGCAGGAATCAGCGAGTCGGACGGGTCAGTTTGAGGACAGGAAGTCTGTTTTGGAGTCTCTGGTTTTAAATGTGAAGAACGGAAGACGATTGTTCAGCTGGCGGAGGAGGAGAAATCCTGTCGTCTTCTGGTTCACTCTCCCTTCTTCAGTTTGATTTTTTCTCCCCTGAAGATGAAAACAAAAGGTTTAAAGTAGAGCCAAACCTTGTTGCTAGGAAACAGTAAAAGCATTAATCATGTGACCAGTTAGAAGGAATCATTTAATGAAGTCTGAAGGTGGCGAGACTTTTATTTATTAAAAAACGTTTTACACTTTTAAATGTGAAGTTAGTTTGTCATATGATTTATAAGAAATGTTTTTAAAATATTATGTGACATCCCCCCTTTAATTAATTTATTTTTTATTTATTTTGAGCCAGGGTGATGCTAATGTTACTGTGTGACACTTTGTTCTGCCCCTTTCCTTTTTGCTTGTGTGTCTGTATTAAAATGGAAAAATAACCAATAAAAACATTTTCATAAAAACTGAAAAAACAACTTTATTTTAATGTCAGTTGTGCTCTGTAAATTGTCACCCAAAAACTCAGAAATTTTGAGATTAATCTTAAATTTTTTAGAAAAAAAATTGGAAAGTTCTGAGCTCAAAGAATCAAACATTTGTCAGAGAAAAACTCCCAAATTTTTTGATTCATCTCAAACATTTTCTACTAAAAACCAGGACTTTTATTGGCTCCAAAAGTCAACAATTTGCAACAGAATTTTTATTTTAATCCCAGAAATTTTCATGAAAATAATGGAATTTTCTGAGATTAAACAAAACATTTCTCGAGTTTTTGACTTTGAGCTCAGACATTTCCAAGATTTTCTGTAAAATGCCTGAAGTTTTTCTCATTAAATCCTTTTTTTGCTTTTTACTTTAACGCCAAAGTAATGTTTTT